AGAGAGAGAGAGAGAGAGAGAGAGAGAGAGAGAGAATTTATATTTCTTACACAGGAAGATTTTAACATGTCACAGTGATTGATTTTATTAACATCTGAATTTAAAACAACAACTATATATTGGAAAAGTGGGGAAAAAAGTACAAATAGTCAAACCTTTTTTCCTTTTTTATGAGGCAATAAAGAGGCTGGATGTGGTGGTATCTGCCTGTAACTCCCAAATTCTGGGAAACTGAAGCAGAAAAACTGAAAGTTTAAGCCCAGCCTGGGCAATTTAGCATCATAATAATACCCTGTTTCAAAAATAAGAAAATTTTACAAAGGTGGAGGATGTAGCCCATTGTGAAGGCACTGAGTTCAGTCTCTACAAATGTACACAATAAAGAGCTCAATAATTGTGTAGCATGAGATAAAAATAATAAGATCAATAATATTCCTTTAAGCAATTGCAACTAATTAGAAAATATGATAAAAGGGCAATTATAACTAGTATGGCTGAAAAATCATACTCTATTTTACATGAACTGTATCCAGATGATATGAAATGAGCTTGTACTTATTTGTTTGTTTTGGTTTTTTGAGATAAAGTCTTGGGGCCATCCAAATAGCTCAGCGGATTAAAGCACCTGCAAGCAGCACAGGGGCCAGGGGTGCGAACCCAAAGCTGCTGTGCCTGCCCCCCCCCCGGGGGGGTGCACTGAGAAGGCAGTTAACACTGGGCATGGTGGCCTGCACCTGTAATCCCAGCTCTTGGGAGGCTGTAAACAGGTGGATCACTATGAGTCTGATCTAGTAGTGAGACCCTGAAAACCCTATAGACCCTTCCCTAAAATACAAAAAAAAAAAAAAAAAAGTAGTTCAGGCTGGCCTTAAATGCAACTCAGGCAAGCCTCAAACTCATGAAAATCCTCTTGCCTCGGCCTCCTCAGCCTACTGAGTGCAGGGATTACAGGGACCCACCACCATGCCAAAGAATACAAGTGTGCGCACTTTGGTCTTTAACAACATCCTCTCATGGAGCTTTGCACAGATTAAGCAGAGCCAATAAGATGAGGTAAATGAAAGAAATTTGTGCAGTGTCAAGGATCCGGCAGACGTTAGATTGACAGTTGTGATCACAGCTCCCATGTGTTGGACCCACGCTGTGCCTAATGGGTAGCAGCCTTCACAAGGCCAGCGTTCGTGCCCACAACGCGTGGTACTCGACCCTCGATATGTGCGGGGTGATCCAAATATACAGTGAATGATAAAATGTTTGCAAATGTATTGCCGTACCAGACGCATGCGCACCCAGCCCTCCCCTGACTCCTCACACTCCTGGCCCTCATTCTTGCCACTTTCTGAAGCAGTTCTGAGCTCTTCATTCATGAGTGACTGCGGGAGGTGTAGTGATTGTTTTACTTCCACTTTTTATTTTGCTCATAAATTCTATAAGATGCATTTTTAAAATATTAGTTGTTGTAAGTTATAAAAGAAGAATTAGCAATGAAGAGGTAGATTAGATTGCCATATAAAGGTATATGAAGGTATTAATACTTTCCTGATTGATGTATAAATATGAGAGTACAATCTCAATAAAATAATCCTCAATTAGATGTTCTTAAAAAGTTACAGAATAATAGAAATATACTCAGAAAAATAAGCTAATGAGGAAAATAGGACATTTTAAAGAGAAGTCAAAATACTGAAAAGCCATTCCAGAAGTCAATTTAAAGTTTTTCCTAGTGTATAAATGCATAGAAAATTCTTCCTATGTAAAAAAGCATAGAAAATGTTACATACAGCACGTGACATGCAAGAATTGAATAAGAATAATAATATAAGAAAATCAACATCACTGAACAATGAAAGAAGATTTTTAAAATAAATGGTGCACTATTAGCTAATTTGAAGGAGAAATAATTAAGATCCACATATCATGAATCTGAAAGAGTGCATTCCAGAATGGTTAAATAAATAAGTTTTGAAAGTAGGAAAGAAGTTGCATATTTGTGAAACACCTGTAAGATCACTAGAAGTAGTAGGAAAAACATCAGATCAGAACACACAACATTTAATAATATAAAAATGTTAAAGTTATATAATGCAAAAGACAAAGTCCAGTGTAAAAGTTTATATAGATAAAATCCATTTGATATAGGGACATTTTCTAAATAAAGTATTAAAAACACATGTTAATTTTTGAAATTAAAACCCATACACCTTCTGAAAGATAATCAACAGAGTAGGAAATGTGATTAATGCATATTTTAAAGCATGTAACAACACTAGTAATTAAAACTCATATTAAAGCAATGCCATTGAGATTTCATCTCTATGAAAGCAGGATCCCTCCCTACAATACAAAACATTCATGTCTCGATTCGCATCATAGCACGCATGTTGCTGCTAAGGGCAGTGAAGTTTAGAAAGCATTTTCAAACATAAGAGCCATAAAAATATCCAAGAATATACTGCAGAAAGTTTGTCTGAAGAGAGAAAAGCTGTAAAAATGGAAGTGCCGATGTCTAGCGTAGTTCCAAACATGAGGGCTGTGTGGAGTGTAACATACCTAAGAAAATAGAAATATTCCATTAAGTTATAGGAACTCAATTAGTTATTGTCATAACTGTTATGAAGATAATATGGCAATATATAAAATTGAAAAGATTTTCGAAGGAATAAAAAAAGCACAATATCCTATCTATAGTATCACCAAATTCTGTATATACCAAGGCATCGAATGGGTTGGTGTCCTAAAAACCAGAAGCAAGTTTTGAGAGATTAGTATGATGGATGAACTTTTGCTACAGTTTAGTTCTGGTAATGTATGCTTTCCCACAATAAATATGCTTCAGATTTAAATAGCAAAAAGTAGTGTCTGCAGTTCACATGTTTATAAATGCAAACCAGGAGATGAAATGTTACAAAGAGCTGAATTAAACGGCATTTAACTGACTCACAAAACCTTTTTCTGAGTTATGTGTAGCAGAGCTTATTTTTCCCATTAGAGAGAATAGACTCGTTTTACAATATCCAACAGTTATTTCAGCTTATCATTTAATATCAGTGGTGATTCCACGGTTAATTTACTAAAAATTCTGACAACTTTGCATTGAGAATGAACCTACTAATGACTGTCTATGCATTTTTAAAGATTAAATGAATATTTGTATAAAAATTTCCCTTCTCATTTAATAGTTTTTTTCATTATAGTCACATTTTTTATATTCATATCTTGGAGAGAAAGATAAAGTAGGAGAAGCAATAAAGAATCAAAAGACAAAAATGCTACCTATAATACTTGCTTTTGTAAATGACCTGAGCATACTAATTAATGTGAGAGAAGTAGCTAAGAGTTTCTCACTTGCAAAATGTATTTCAAATTATTCGGTACTCTAAAAATCAATGTACAAATTTATAAAAAAGATGTTTTCTTTATTATTCCTTTCTAGATTATGGTTTGGGTTTATCTGCAGGGTCTTATGAATGTGAGCCTTTGGTCATAAACCCTCAGAAACATTAGTATTGATAAATCTTATTTCTTTAACCTGTTTCTTGGCTGTTAAAAATAGAAATAATTGCTATTTTGAAATCAAGGACTGTGGATGACTATCGAATGTATGTATCATTAGGAAACAATTTAGTTTCATATTGGGATTTAGAATACTCTGTACACCCAACACTTTACAAATGCTAACAGATTTTATAGCATTTGTTTCTGTTACCTGTACAAGAATTAATAGGATTATTTTGTTCATGCAGCAGTTGTGGAGGCAGAAACTTCCCTATTACTGGATGCTTTCTCTTTAAATATTCAGTCTGTAGCACATCACATTATGATAATAACAGCTTCCAAATGTAAATCAATAAGGGTTTGGTGGCTTTTCCTTGAACTTCTTAGTTTTGCGAGGCGGCTTGCATATTTGCCAGTGATCAACCAAGGTCGAATCTTGCGCTTCCCTCGAGAGAGGCAGATTCTGCGTGACCGCGGAGGCTTTGTCTCATCGAATCCCTGTGGCTCTTGAACCAATCAGTCCGTACTTGAGCGCTGTCAGAAGGAGAGCTACAGAGCGACGAGAGATGAATGATTTTTTCTTCCTTCTCAAGGTTCTGGGCACTTCACGCCAGTAACAAAAAGCTATGTGATGAAACACGGTCCCAAGGGGAATACATTATGTTTCCTGCGGCAGAGTGGTTCTACAAAGAAATGCATATTGGATAAAAAGTAAAAACATCGAGAGGTAAA